CCCCCTGGGGGCAATAGGGTCTCTCTCCACCTTCAGGACCCATTGGTTCACACCCCCAAAGCCTTTGTATTGTCCCCTTCCCCCTGAGGTCCCTCTCCAGACAAGGGCAGGCAATAAACCCTGTACAGGTGTGCCTGAGGCAGGAAGAAAGGGGGTGGAGCTCACTGGGATGGCAGTCTACACTAGGAACGGCTCTTCAGTCCCAAGGGCACTGGGCGGGAGGGCTAGAGGTGGTCAGGTAAGATGAACCCAGCCCCGACCCCATGGACCCCTTCCCCTGGCAGAGCGAAGACGGCACCTACACGGGTTTCATCAAAGTGCACTTGAAGCTGCGGCGGCCGGTGACAGTGCCGGCCGGGATCCGGCCCCAGTCCATCTACGACGCCATCAAGGAGGTGAACTTGGCAGCCACCACGGACAAGCGGACGTCCTTCTACCTGCCGCTCGATGCCATCAAGCAGCTGCATATCAGCAGCACCACCACGGTCAGCGAGGTCATCCAGGGGCTGCTCAAGAAGTTCATGGTCGTGGACAATCCCCAGAAGTTTGCACTTTTTAAGCGGATACACAAGGATGGGCAAGGTATGAGAGCAAGCTCCCAGCCAGGAGCTACCTTCCCTGCCTCGGCCTAGGTCCACAGAAGCCATGGCCACGTGTGCCTGGGAGGAGTGGGTGCTCCCGGGGTCAGTTGTCCACACGGCACTCGGCCCCACACAGACACTGGGCGCCTGCTCATCCCATCCAGGACTTTGGGAAACCCCGTTTCCAAATCTGTGTAATGGGGAGAATCTGCCCTGCCTGATCTATTGGGAATTGTTGTGATCGGGAATTTAAACTCTGAGCAAAGGGGTCTTGCTGGACTTCTTGTCAGGTGTATTTCATTAGGCTGAGAGAATGGCCACTGCAGGCTGTAGCTGCCCCGCCCCACCGGCCCCAGGCACCCCCACCTCCCCCTTCCCTAGGCAGGCTCCCAGCCCGGCTCCCAGCCCCCTCTCTTGGTCTGCAGTGCTCTTCCAGAAACTCTCCGTGGCCGACTGCCCCCTCCACCTGCGCTTGCTCGCCGGCCCTGACACGGAGGTCCTCAGTTTTGTGCTGAAAGAGAACGAAACAGGGGAGGTGGAGGTGAGTCTGGGACCCTCAGGTCGCAGGCACAGGCCAGCCCTGGGGCACACTGGGAAAGCAGCCGGAGTGGCTCTGGGAAGGCAGAGCGGGGTGAGAGCTGGTCCAGAAGGTTCCTGTAAGGCGGGGCTGTACACACCTGGGGTAGCGAATCAGGACCTATCTGTCGAGCCCATGGAGACTGGACCTGATGCATCTTACTGCTGAAGGCTCAGCGTGGAGGCAGCCCGAGAAAGACCCTGTGTCCAGGCTCAGCTGTTTCTGCTGCAGGATAGGGCATAGCCTGCCAGGCGCCACCTCAAGAGGCCACTGGGTGGGGGTCCTTTCCTGATACCCTTCTCCCATTCTGCAAAGCAGCTGCCTCCCCCAGGGGCAGGGGCCTACACGGTGTCCAGTGCTGCAGGTTTGAACTGGGGTGAAAGCAGACTGCCCGTGGGGCAGGGCTCCCTGGGCAGCGCCTCAGCCCAGCACCACTCACACAGCAGGGTCACTGTGGGGACTTGGGGGAATCATCTGCCTTGTGTTGGAATCGGTGGGAGCCCTTGTTTGGAAAAAGCACTCCATTGATAGGGTTTGATCACACGGCCAGGGCTTGGCCCCTGGGTGCTAGTTCTGTTGCTGTCCCAGCCACCTGCCAGCAAAGCTGACTCGCTGTTGCAGTGTGCAGGTTATACCTGACTGACCTCATGCTCCTTTGAGCTAAAAGCCTGGGAGGCCCTGGCTGCTGCTGGATCTGCCAGGGAGGGAGAAGACAGCCAGAGCCGGGCCAGCTTCCAAAACAGTCCCGGTTGGGTTCTCTCCATTGTTGCCCCTGGTGGCCCTGGGCGGTGGGACACCAGGCCCACAGCACATGAGAAGGCAAGGGCCGGGAAGCCTGAGTGACGTGAGACACAGGTCTCCTGTGTCCAGGTCCTGCGCTCCAGCCCCCAGCCCTTCAGGGTGTGCAGGTTGGGGGCCTGGTGCTGATCACCCTGAAGCAGACCACAGGGACAGGCTGGGAGCTTCCCAGGACTGCTGTCAACATCTCAGCTGCTGCAGGGAACACTTACATCAGTTCTCCAACGCACAGCCACAAGATGCCAGGGTTTCTCTTGCTGAAACGCCTAATGCCGGGAATGTAAACCCCAGGGAGCACTCATTACGCCTGCCTCCTCAGGAGCAGGGGGGGGGAGAAAGGAGGCAGCCCCTAGGCCCAGTTCTTCCCCACCCTTCCAGGTCACCCAGAGTCTTCAGTAGCAAAAGGAGCTCTGGTGGCACAGTGGTTAAGTGCTTGGCCACTCACTGAAAGGTTGGCGGTTCCAGCCCACCCGGAGAAAGGCTCCACATGAGAATGGCCTGGTAACAGTAAAGGTACAGCTTAGAAAGTACATGGGACACTTCGCTGTCACATGCACTGTGCTCCCTGTGAGCTGGCTGGACAGCCACACGCAGCAGCAGACTGCAGGAATCTCGGGTGTGAGCCGGGTGGTGCAGAGGGAGGCAGCCAGGCCCTCAGGTCACATCAGCTTCTAACCTGTCTCCTCTCTTGTGCCCCCCACCCCGCCTTATCCCTCTTGCCTCACAGTGGGACGCGTTCTCCATCCCGGAGCTCCAGAACTTCCTCACGATACTGGAGAAAGAGGAGCAGGACAAACTCCAGCAAGTGCAGAAGAAATACAACAAGTTTAGGCAGAAACTGGAGGAGGCCTTAAGGGAATCCCAGGGCAAACCTGGGTAACCGGTCCTGCACCCTCTCCTCCTGACGCCCTCCGATTTATTTTTATTATTATTATTTTGCCACGGACACTTTTCTCAGGACGCCTCTGGCGGGCGCGTTGTGTGCTCGCCCCGCAGCAGCTCCAGACGTGGCACAATCTCCCTGGGGGACAGCTGTCTGTGTGTGGGGGTGTCACCCCCTTCCCCAGGGATTCGAACTCCTGTTAAAAGATCCGCCTTCGCCACTGTCCTCTCTCAATCTGCAAGCCTTTCACCAACCAAACAGCTGCCTCTCTTGTCACCTAACTGGAGCCTGTCACCCTAGCTGGCACAGGACGGACGGAGGTTTTAGGGCTCCCTGTCTGGGCTCAGGCTTTCATTCTCTCTCGTGCGTCTTACTCACTGCCCCCCGTTATTTCTGGGTCAAGAGCTGGAGCCTGCTCCATTCGCGGGTCTCAGCTTAGCCCTGAAAGCAGGTCATGCTCGTGAAAGGATGGCTCCTCTCTGGCCGGATGCTCAGGGGAAGGCGCCCCAAAGCTGAGGGTGGCACAGAGATGCCACAGCCAAGAGCCTGTGCCCTGTAAATCCAAAGGCTTACGTCCGTGTAGGTACCGTACCTGTTCACGCCTGTCAACAACCTGCTCGTTCTTAAGTTTGAATTCACTGTTGCCATCATCTTGTGTTTTCCACCAAGGGGAACTGTTTACCAAGTTCAAAGTCTCCTGCTGAGTAAGGAAATCAGGCAGTTGGAGGAAGCCAAAACCACAGTCAGCGTCCCCCCAGTGACAGCGGGGCCTCTGGGTGCTTTTGGGCTGCCCCAGGAGCTGCCTAGATGAAAGAGGCCACCCTCCGGCTTGCCCATGTGTAGTCCTTTCTGTTCCCAAGCTCCCGGCCGGCCGCGCCATCGGCCCAGACTCCCCTTTGACCTCAGTGCCTTTTTTGTTTTCGGAGACAGAGCAGGGTGTTTGATGGAAGCTCAGATGCTGGCCTGCTCCGGCCGGGCTGTGGACAGACAGCCAGCTTCCATATGTGGGAGACAGGCCAGGAGGGCCCTCCCCGAGGAGTAGGTGCCAGACCTTGCGGACAGGGTGCCTCGGATTGCTGGCTGCGCTCACGCCTGGCTCCCGGGTGTCAGCTCAGGCTTAAAACAGCAATGAACCACATTCTTCAAGGAAGTCGCCAAGACTGCAGAGACTCCTGAGCAGAGAGCGGGCTTGCGGTTTTCCAGGTCACCCTGAGAGACCATGACTTTGCTGTCCTCTGACTTCTCAAGCCCCAGCCTCCGTGGGGACCCTTCCCTCAGAACGGTCCCCGCCCGAGGCCCTCTTCATGGAAGGACCGCTGACCCCCGTCTTCGGAGCTGCCAAAGCAAGACAGGCCAGCAGCTCGGAAACCTCTTCAGGCCACAGAAACCCCGCTTCTCTGCCAGCGCCATCAGCTCGGCCTTAGGGAGAGTCCTTCCTCCCCGCCTCATCCTGCATGTCCCCAGGCCTGGCTCCTGCTGCCCGTGCTGTGAATGCTGCTGAGGACCCCCTCCAACGGGGCGGCCGCTGTATTTTTCAGAAGGAAAAAGTCAAGTATGTGTGTGGAGCGAGAAATATATCCACGTGTCGAGTTATATAGTTATATATAAAGATATTAGGGTGTGTGATGAAGTAAGAGAGTTGAGGGGCCCGAGTCTGCCTAAGGCACAGGTGGACCCCGGACCTCTGCTTACGGTGCGAAGGAGCCCCCTCCCCTCCCAGAGGCAGGCTGCGCCGCTGCTGGTAGTGCCTTCCAAGGTTGTGTGGCACGGCGGGCCATTTGGTTTGAGGATACCTTCTTTTTAAGTGTCTTTCTTATATGGGTTTAAAAGAAACAACGTATTAAAAGCTTGTTGAAAAAATGATTTGTTCTGGAGACTTCTTACTCATCTATGGAAATCGGGGTGAGGGTGGGGGTGGGTGGGGACAAGAGCAGAGCAAGGAGGGCACACGTGCTTTGAGGCAGCCGGGCTCTTTGCTGGTCAGCAGTCCTGCCCACATATTGGGGGGTGGCGGGTGTCGCCTCGGCAGCTAGCTGTTCTTTATCTCCACAGAGCCGGAGCCCGAAGGGACTGGAGACGGAGCCAGGTCAGTTTCCTAGAAGCCGAGCCCACAGACCCAGGAGCAAAGATTCTTTGGGGATTACGTTTGAAAGGATCGGGAGGATTCACCTCTGAGGGCTGAAGTCACCTCACCTGGGGGAAGAGGGCTAGCCCCACATCAGCATCTCGGACGCCCAGGCCACCTCAGTAATCCTGGAACGAGCCCCGTCCAAGTCAGCAGCATGGGATCCCCACTTTCCTGCCAGAATAGAGCATACCTGCGTAGTACAGCGCCCAGGGGCTCGGTCAGTCAGCAGCTGACTCCACATGGGAGAGGGCAGCACACCTGTAACGTGTTCACCTAGACCTCCAAGAGTCTTGCCAAAGCCTGGAAATGAACCAGTTTCTGCTTTTCCTTGAAGTTCGAACGGTTGCCACGTGAATGAATAAACCAGAGCTGTTGTAGGTGACGTGGCCACCCGGGCGGGAAAAGCACCACGCCTGCCCAGGCTGCTGTGCGCCAGGGGAGAGGGACGAGGACTGCCTAGGTGTCGCCATGACTGGACAGTGCCCGAAGCTCGGCCCAGCAGCAATGTGATCGCAGTGCTCTGGGTGAAACCGCGGCTGCCCACCGTCACCCAGCCCGCGACTGACTGGCGTGTGTGCAGCAGGGACTAACGGGGCAAGCCCTGACCACGTGGACCTCCAGTTCCTCTAGGAGAGCGTTCACATGAAGACCCCACTTCATCACTGCTGCCCGCCGTCTGGCTGTCTGACTGACTCGTGGCGACTTCCGGTACAATACAATGGTCCTGCACCGTGTCCAGGCCACTGCTGTGGTGTGGGTCTGGGCTTCCCTTCCTGCTAGCCCTGGTTTGACCAGCCCTGGCCCTTTCCAGCCACGCTCCTGCCTGATGACCTGTCCAAAGTCGGCACGTCTCTGAGTCTCACCATTCTCGCTTCTAAGAAGCACTCTGTGAGTGTGACTGGTGGCACTGTGGACTGGTGG